AAACTGAAGTATTTCTGGGGTTGTTTTTAATTTTCTGTTTGTAGCATTTGACAGCTGCAAGAAATTGCATGAGAGAAAAAAATCAAAGGCTTAAGTATCAAAATCTTTGCTTACAAGCTACTCTTATTTAGCAATCATGCTTGCATAATAACTACAACTTGGAGCACATGATTCATAGGAACAAGTAATCAAGTATATAAAACTCCATGGCTTGTACCTAAATGTATTTGTTTTTTTCAGGAATAACATAGAGTTGTTAAGTAAATATTTTGTAGTGTGGTCATAAAAAGGGGGAAACTTCCTAACAGAGAATACTCCACATGTATGGTAATAACAATAATACCTCTGGACTAAGGATAACAGATGTTCTAATAGTTAGAAATGTTTATTGATAAATTGTTCAGCAATATCAAAATTCAGCTTCATTTCAGCACGTTCATATTTTTTTCTTCTTGCTGTTAATTATTTATACTTATGAAGAGTGAACTTAGGATCATGAAGCTGAGATTCATTGAAGAAAATGAAGTTCAGTTTATGGTACAAAAATGACTCCATGGAGAAAGGATACATTTACTATATCCAACTGTGAAACCACCAAAATAGAAACTAGACCCATGTAACTTAAATGATTAGCCACAAAGCTTGACATATAAGCTAAAAATATTAAATAATAAACTGAATATTTGAATGTATCCATTAAATTTAAGTGCATTTACACAATGAATAGCTTCATAACATCTAGAATTGCTAGCAGACAATTTTGAAAAAAGAAAGGAGGCTGTATTCATACCATAATTTACACATAATGAACAATTTTAATCAGTTTTTAAATGGTGGAAGAAATTTTGTGAATGGTGAGACTTTCCACCAAGGTCATAGAGAAAAAATGTTTCGTTTTTCAATATACTTGGAATTTTCAAGTTAATCTTTTAATCAGACACATAACACAGGTTTTATGTGTTCTCATGACAGACCAGCAGTACTCATGGTCGCCTTCTCAGCACTTCAATGAAGAAAGATACTCTCCTGCTCCGAGGAATATGAAAGGATTATCTGGTAGTCGCAATCAACCACAGTTATGTTCAGCTCATACTTGTGGCTTAGCATCCCCTGAAGATTGTGAACATACCCACGACCTTATCCACCATGGGCAGGAGCCAAGGCCATCGTATCTTCTCAGCCCCACGGAGAGTTGCCCGCTGGACCACCATCGTTGCTCCCCACGCAGCTCCATCCATTCTGAGTGCATGATGATGCCCATGGTAATGGGCGATCACATGTCAAGTAGCACTTTCCCCAGAATGCACTACAGCTCACATTACGACTCAAGAGACGACTGCGCCATGTCTCACGGTAACCCTAAGATTAACCGTATTCCTGCAAATCTTTTGGACCAATTTGAGAAACAGCTTCCTCTTCACCGGGATGGGTTTCATACTTTACAGTACCAGCGGACCTCAACAGCTGCGGAACAACGCAGTGAGAGCCCGGGAAGGATACGCCATCTCGTTCATTCCGTCCAGAAACTTTTTACTAAATCTCATTCTCTGGAAGGATCATCCAAGGGCAATGTTAATGGAACAAAGGGGGACAGTCGAGGGGACGATCATCATCATGGGCACCATTCCAAGCATAGCAAAAGGAGTAAAAGTAAGGAACGAAAACCAGAAGGCAAGCATAAGTCTGGAATGAGTAGCTGGTGGAGCTCTGATGATAATTTGGACAGCGATAGCACTTACCGAACCCCTAGTGTGGTAAATAGGCACCATACAGATCATATATCCCATTGCTATCCTGAGGCACTCCAGGGGCATTTTGGGGATCTCTCATTGAAGACTTCCAAAAGTAACAATGATGTGAAGTGTTCGGCTTGTGAAGGGCTACCAATGACCCCTGATAGTAAATATATGAAAAGGAGTTCTTGGTCCACGCTTACAGTAAGTCAGGCTAAAGAAGCTTATCGCAAATCATCACTGAACTTAGATAAGCCTCTGGTTCACCAGGAAATCAAACCTTCCTTGAGGCCGTGCCATTACCTTCAGGTAAGAGGAAGATTTTCTTGGGATTTTTAATGAAAAGAGCATCACGGTATATGCCACAGTCATCGTAAAAAATATATAAAGGTACCTCTCAAAGAATTTCTGTATGACTCTCCTAATGCAGATATCAGATATTCCATTAAAGTGAGAAATCTCTGGCTTTTGTCTTTGTTTATAGACCACAGATTAAAAACTATAAAACAGGTGTGATATAAGTTAGTTTCAGGTCAGTAGATGTGTTTTCATCTTTGGAATTCACACTGAACCCCTTGATGAAATATATATATCACACAAAAAAGGAGCAGTTCTCTCAGCAGTCTGAGCGCTAGAAAAAGTGTTTCAAATACATCTATGGATGAGTGATTTTAAAAACAGGCTGTGGGGAATCCTATTTTTGCATTCTTTTATAACTTTTCTCTGTGTTTTTGTAAGTAACAGAAGAATGTATTTACTGGTGTCTCAAATTGCTTTGCTGTGGTGATGATCACCTGCTTATGTTATTTTAATGATTGGATCACCCAGGATCATATTGAACTGAGCCTCTTTTTAAACCATACTATAACAACATCTGTTTTAAAAGATACATGGGTACCTCAGAGAGAGAGATATTTCAGGCCTGGGCCTCCAACTGTTTTTGATGGTGTTCTGCATGTTTTCTTTTGCAGCAACAGTAAAGCTCCCAATTTCTCCTACATTTAATTTTTAATGCCTTCTGCTTGATGCCATTTTCCATACCAAAGTCATGCTAATGTAACTATTTATCGTGCTGCAAAATGATCTGGATCATAAAGTGACATGGGTTTAAAAAATACTTTCCAAAATACTAATTTTAGACATTTGCATCATTTACCTGGCCTACGTCCAGCACAGTCCCATCACAAGTGACATAAACACGTCAGATTATACAGAGAACTCTGTAGTGGGTGCAGAGTAGAAGGGAGAGTTACTTGGAGGATAACTCTTTCAGCTAGCTTTATCACTGGAAAAAATGTAGAATACAAGTATTCCTTTAGTAATTTATACTAAGTATAGCCTGCAAAGTCCACATTGTTTTGAGTGTGTTCTATTTCTTTTTAAGGAACTCCTCTTTCTCCAGAACTTCACCCATTCTCACATTAACATGGGGAAATCTCTAGTCCAGATCTATGTATTTGGAGATTTTCAGCTTCTCTGGGCCCTACAGAACTCTCTCCTCTCAGAACTATAGGTGTCCAATAACAATGAGCCACACTTGAAGAGACAGATCTTTTCAAATGCATATGCAGACATCCAGGATCAATCTTCCCTACTGAAACAGGGAAAGTTTCTCATTGCAGAGAAAGGAAAATAAATTGCAGCCCTCAGAGCATTACCATGCAAATTGATTCCAATCGAGACTGACAGCTGTGGTATTTTATCATATCCAAGTACATTCTCATGTATGTAAAATAGACTGCACTTCCCTGGAAGTTTTTGATCTAAGTCGAGGAGCCAGAACTGGAACTGCGTCATGTGCAGACTTCCACTCTGTGTGAAGTGTCTGTGTTCTAAAACCATGCATACAGCTGTGACATTACAGAGAAGTTTAGATATGACTGGATTTTTCCTTCCCGTTACATACCTCTACCCTGACAATTCTTCTTCCTCTATACCTGTTTTGGGTTTAGTGCTTTCCTTCTCAATCATGTTTCATTGTTTCCTCTTCCCCATCCCCCCACCCCTACATCTCATTTGCAAAAGCTATCAATTTTTACTTTTCATTGGCCTTCTCCTTACTCCCAACATATGTTACTTCCAACATCAGCATCCTCAAGTGAAAGGTGAAAGACTGAGCTCACAAACTAACTTGGCTATTGCTAAGCTTTAGATCAAGCCCAGTGACAAGCCTAGGGGTCGAAAAGCACACTTCTTTACAGTCATTTATGCTTTTTGTGAATTAGGATTACTACAGAAAGGAATTTTCATTCAGTAATTAGGAAGGTTTATCCAGCTTAAAATCTAGGAGATGGGAATTCAAATCTTTTGCTGCACAGAGATTTGTGGTCTTTGTTATTTAAGACCCTTTAAAAATGGGATAGTACCCATTCTCTATTCACAGGGATCCCATAATGGAAATGTGTTAAGACTCAAGTGCTTAGTTACTACCACAAGGAACCTATACTTGTGTCCAAAGCAATAATACAAGGAATTCTGTAACAGAAATATTCTCATTATAAAATATTAAAATAAAACATGTTTCATCATATCAGAATATGCCATTCAGAGCATAGATATCCTTCAGACTGAGAGGCTGGCTTATTCACTAGCCCATGGTCAGCAAAAAAATTGAGGGGATATCATTCTGTCAATGTCATAACTAAGTGCTTGGTTTTGAAACTTCTACTTTCAGGGATGCTGGGCTCTCACGATAAAATCATTAAGGTCAGAAATATGTCTCATTATTAGCTCTGCCACAAACTTTCTCTCTGACCCAGGAAATGTAATTTGCTAATCACTGCACACTTCAGTTGCTCTATCTGAAAAACTGAGGAGGGATATTTAACTTTTCCTATGGCAATGTAAGCAGCATCACTGTATAATGATTGGATAAAAATAATCATTAGATTCAGAAACTAAGAAAGGTGGAAAAACATATCAGAATCCCTACCCAGGAGAGTTTACTGCCTTGCTCAAAAGTAGATGGCAATGAGAATTCATGGGATTATGAAGCTGATGTGCAGCAGGAGACTTCCCTGAGGTACACAAGTGAACAGATTAGCATAAAACCCCAAGGCCTTTCACAGGGTCTCTGTTTTTAAAGTTATATTAAATACATTTGTCCTGACTGATTTCAGCTATATATTTTTAATTATTTTTAAAATAAAGCTGTGAAATTATATCCCTTCAATAAACACACAAATAGTTAAGCAAGCATATCTCAGAATAAAAAAAATCTATGTTTATATATTAATATCATCAATTTATTTATATATATGGCTTTTGTTCTACTACCTAGTTATATGAGGTTTCTCAGTAGCCAGCTCACTTTTCTGTCTATTGGTTTTCTTCCTATTATTTTTTTCAGTATCTGCATGAAATATTTCTACTTCTGTTTTCCGCTGAGACTTTTGATATGCAGAATCTCAAACTGAAAGACCATGGCAGTCTTAGACCTGTGCTTGAGACTGTTTTCTGGCTTATGTTTCTGGGCTTCCACTTTGTCTTCCACCATAATTACTGAGCTTCTTCTCCTTCAAACTGCAATTCTGAAGTGTGAATATAGGAATTTTCTTTCTAAGAAGGAAGCTGCCATCAAAATAACAAATGCCTGGAAACAGGAGATGAGACAAGGGATTTTGAAGGTGTCTACTCATTGTATGCTTCAGTCATGTCCTAGAGCTGAAAGCAGCTATTTCATTCACCTGGTAAATCTCCAAGCTTAATCTCTTAAGGCTCGTCTTTTAGGGTTTCACTTTCCTTTCTCCACACAGAGTTCTTGCAGCTGAGGCATCTCCTTGGACTGGCAGTGTGGTGCTGTAAGTCAGAGGTGATTCAGTCAACATGCCTTTTTCAAGCAGGGGTGGTCATCAGTCATAAAGTGGATGGTTTGAGAGAACTAAATTAATTGAAATAAAGCTGTATAAACCTAGATCAGATTTTCATCACTCCTTCTACAGTGGAGGTGATGGGAGCCTGCAGGGACAAGGAAGAGGAGAAGAGTGAGAAACTCATTTGTGAGGGCTGAAATGTCACTCAGTTGATCAACTTCCACCTCAAGAGCAGAGGGCAACCATTTGTAACTGTACACTCACAGCATTTATCAGACCACATCTTGTGAATGATTAGCTACAGGAATTACGTATGGGCCTTTAATTTCTATTTTAAATGCAGACAAATTGAGCATTTCAGTGCATTTCTGGGCACCAAATAGTTTGCCACATCACTCAGCAGGCAAAACAGCCCAAGTAGAACTCACATGCAATAATGCACATTTTTGTATAGTTTTAGCTATAGTGGCTGCTACTGTTTTCAAAGTAATTTTAATATAAAATATGTTAAGAAAAAGATAAATGAGCTGTGAGATCTCCTCTGTCTTCATCAGCTGTTTTGGCTAATTAGGTTTCACATGTGTGCAGTGCAATGACTTTGATTAATTCCACTCTGATATGAGTACTAGCAAGGAGCAAAGATTTTTAACAGGAAAAAAAAGGATATGAACTAGATAACTGTGCTGAAATTACGTGCACAGAAGAGTCACTTACGGCTTCCATAACTGAAATAACTTTGAATGCTAGTTAAAGAAAAATAATTCCTACAATAGAGCCAAAAGATAGGCAAGGGCATCACACACACCAAGACTGTAGTTCTGGAACAAAGTGCGATGTGTCACTGATTAATATTCCTTCCTCACCCATTCAACAGCAAGCAGTTGGGGTAAACATACCACAAGGTACAGTGAATGAGTCAGCACTAAAAAAGGAAATAGCATGTTATTCTAAAAATGGCTTCAACCCACTCCTGTCTTCCTAGTGCATTTAAGTACGAGCGTCATCGGTTACAGCCGAGGCACTGCTAAGTGTGTGGATAATAATGTCAGCTGTGTACTCTACAGAATGAAAGAAAAGCACAGAGTTGGTCTCTTTAAAAAGAAAAAGAAAAAAACAGCAGTTTCAACAAGGCTCTTTGCTGGTTTAAGTTAAGGCTACGTGGAGAAAACCTTTGAGGACAAGCTAATGGATAAATAGGCCTTAAGCCCGCAGTTACATTTTCTCAGGAACTCTGCTGGTGACAATACAGATTCCCATAAATGAAACTGCTGCCTTTGTGAGGCACACCATTGCTTTGCGCTCTCCCTCTAGTTTGCAAGGATAGATGGATTTGAACTCAATGCACTTTTCTCAGCACTTCGTTTTAGTGAAACTAGATTGTATCTGTTTGCTGGACACAAAACCCATGCAAGAACTACAGAAACTACATCCACTCCTCTACCAGTGAGTGCACACTGTGGAGCTAGCCAGAGCTAGCAGAGTTTTGATACATCCAAATCACTACCCACGCTGCTTTCACAATGATTTATGACCAGCCACCACTCAAGAATTAACTGGGTTGTTTCCACAGCAGGAAAAGCTAGTATAGACAGTAGGGTAGCAGGGCAGTCTGCATCCTAAATCAGCATGGACAAATGCTGCACCATTTGGTGTTCTACAGCCCATTACAGTCTCACAAGGATGTCTCAGCCACCCCTATGCCCTCCCAGTCTGCAGTGGAGATGAGCAAGACAAACAGGTAGTGCCGAGACAATAAGGGAAATAAAAGGACAGGTTTTGCCCTGTGGTCCATCCACAGTGTTAATGTCAGCCTGCAACATCTTGTGGGGCATTAAACAAAAGGGAGTAATAAAGCTTACACTTCCCTGTATTTACAGAATGCTGATGGGTTTGTGTATCACAAATCCCAGAATACTTACATACCCCTCCCAAGACGAAAAAATATTAAAAAAAAATAAATTAAATAAATACATTCAATCAATGATATTGTAAAGCAAAGCTCTGACCAAACAGCTGTCCTAAATCCTTGGTATCTTGAATTACTGTGTTAATCAGTGATACAGTGCACTGCTTCCATGCCCATGTACTAGAATCCTCATATTGGATGAAATTAATTACTGAAACTTTTTTTCAAAGAAGAGCAGAAAGAGTTCAGAGTTAATATTTTCTTAAAGCTGCCTGAAAATGTCCCTGTTACTGTGGAATGTAACATGTCAAAGCTATGAGCAGAAAAGAGAGGCCATGATCCCACTGCCCTTTAATCAGGGGGAGTTGTCCTCCTTTACGATGTTAGAAGTTGTTTCTCAATGTTCACTTCATTGAAGCTGAAGGCTGACCTTTGCAGTTGTTACTCAAAGGTGTCACTGGTTCTGAAGAAGTTTTCATACAGGAGTAACTTACTGTTATGTACAGTCAGGCCATCTGTCAAAGGAGACTTCCAGGAACACACCCTTGGGGCTGTAATGACTGCACACTCTCCTAGGGCACAGGCTGGCTGCCTAGGGCAGACCTAGCTCCTCTCTTGAGCAGTCCGTGCCATTTTTCCTGCAAGGAGGTGACTAAAAATGCTGAAGTATTCACAAATGTTGCTTTGTCTTTTTGTTTTGTTTTGGTCTTTTCTGGGTTTGTCCATCTTACAATTCTGTGTTTAAAGCTTGTTTTTTAAAGTGGAATTGGAAATGTATCTAAATAGCTCATTGTTATATATAAAAAGTTATAGCTGGACAAGTTTCCTGGTACTTTGGTAGGGAAATGCTTTTTGAAAGGTATGTGGATAGGCATTACATAATAGATAGACAGGGAAAAAATACTTATTTTGCTCTGGAAGGTAGATAATTGCAGTCATCTGGACTTAACTGTTCAAAAAATTATGTCGATCATTAGTTTAAATCAGAAAAAATTGATGAGAGGCAAATACAGCTACTAAATAGCCTTTAAAATATTTGTGTTTTAAAGACACATACTGATTTTCAGTAGCAGACCTGTAACAAACTGAAAAAAAAAAGTGATATAATATTTTGCTTCAATTAAATATGATGCTGTTTACTACAGGTCACTTTCTGAGACACCCTCCATATGCTGCCTTTTAGGTTCATCCCTCTCTAGCCTTATAATAGCTCTGCAACACTGAAGACCTTGCTCCTTAGTTTCTGTGTTTTCAGAGGTGCTTACAACAAACATTGTAAGTTTGTTGGGAGCACCACTCCCAACATTTTTTTTCTCTTGCTTTATATTTCTGTAACCTTGAACGGTCGGTGGACCAACTCAGAAAAACTTGTAGTCAGCTTCATTTGCTGATGTTGTGGTCCTCTGGACCTTGTCTGCTGCCTGTCAGTCAGGCAGCCCAGCTGGCAGGTGTATTCCTGACTCCCTGTAGTAAGTATTCCTTACTAACCTGTAGTAAGAGACAGGCTGCAATCCTGTTTAGGTTTTTTTTTATGCTGGTTTTTAGCCAAATTTGCATTTAATTCAATTTATAGAAAAAGACTTCAAGAAATATGCTACTATGAGCTGGTCCAAAAAGACAAAGACGTAGGAAAATGAACTGTGGGTGCAAACTCTTTCTTGGCAGAAAAGCAAATTGTTGTGGCATGCATGCAAAGTTACAAGTTTTGATCTTTGATGTTTCTGTGAATTTCCATTACTAAATTAATTGCTACCTTATGCTACATCTATTCTATCAAATTATATAGTGTCAGGATGGTTTCCTTGGCACTGCATTCTGATCCTCAGTACTGTTATGTGGCTCAGCAGGTCTCAGGCATTTTTTTCATCCAAGCTAGCTTTTTTTCCTAAACTCCCTCCTGAGCACTCTTGGTTCAGTACTTAGCACAGGCCAAGGTGTGTTCCTAGTAGCCACACTTTTTCAGATGTAAAGATTGCTCCACAGCATGGGAATGAAGTGCTTCAGAGCAGCGACCTCCAGGCAAGACAGTGGGTCTTTACTGACCTGTATTTGCCCAGCACTAAGGCAGTCACCAGATCATTTGCATCCTTCTCTCTCCTTGTGCAGCAGCACAGTGAGCTGGAGCAACTCACCAGCTCAGCTGAACTCTTACCTTTACTTATCCTTATTAGTGTTGTAGGGTAATTTTTCACGTAGCACTCTAGGTCACTTGACCATTAGCATTTCTTAAAAAGTTGAATATTGCTTAAGAAAAATCTGCCCCACTGGAGTTAATGGTAATATAATTTTAAAGTGGCTTTAGCTGACCACAAAGCAGTGTCATTGATCACATACCAAAGAAAATATGCAGCCAACTGAAACACATGTTTCTTGGTTGAAACTCTGCTGGTTTTGTCTCTTAGATTGAGAGCTTATAAACAGGTTCTCATGCAAGTACAGGCCAAGCCCTCCCTTCAGTCCAAGTTCACCTTATATCAAAGCTCTGGCATAAGATCTCAGTGAGCTTAGCAGGCTAAAATCACCCACAGTGTGGACAAGCCCGTGGCTGCTGACAGGACCTTGCTCCACCGTGTCAAAACAGCACAGAATCCTGAGGGTCCCAGAGAAACCCAACAACACAGCAGTGGTTTGCAGGTGGCTGAACTTCAGGCACTGATCTGTGCCATCAATATGAGCACAGATGGTGATGGGGTGGGAATTTGGCCCACTTTCATCCAAATAGTATAAACAAAGCCACAAAGTCTTTACAACACCAATTCCAGTGTTTAGCCACCCTCAAATTATAATTCACATTGTTCCTGGAGAATCAGTTGGGAAACACAGTGCTGGTTCTTTTTTTTTTCTTTTTTTTCTTTTTTTCTTTTTACATTGTTTTCTGTTTTTTTGTTGTTTTTAATTAATCACTTGTGAGATATGTGTTATAAAACAATATTCAAGTGAAAAGAGCACAGTTCTTTAAAAAACACAGAAGCAATTTTAGTATACCAGACAGGAATCTTTCCTTCACGGATTGCTTAGTGCAGTTTGCTTGGAACTCCACATGAGGGAATAAAATCCGGCAACAAATAATGATTTTCCTATTTGAACATCTCCCAGCTGGAATAGTATGTTTGTGTTCTGTGATCTGCATGTGTGTCCAGATTATTACCAAATCCCAAATTCCTGAAGTCAAGTTGTTTTCAACCCAATGTAAAGCATATATTGCTTGGGATCTACATTATTTCCTTCTTCTTTCTGTA